GAGATCTCTGTCGGGATCAGTTCCTCTGATGAGTAAGGTAGAGTGGAGGAAATATTTTGCTTTTATCCAGAGTCTTCTCTGCCTCCTCCCATTCCTTCAAATTCCTTGAATATATGGATGTTACCTGTTCCATTTTTGATTGTGACTCCTGTTGTCTTAGCTTCAGATCCAAGGTTGCATCCACATTGAGAAAATAACAGAAGAGACTTAACCTGAGGCACAGCCTAACTTCTATTCTGCAGGAGTGGAATATAATTCATACTAGTGCTCCCTCTTAATTTTTTCCATCCATGTGCAAAATAAATGTTATGAGTACCGAGATGTGTGAATGTGCCCCACAAGTAGAAACACATGCTGCTGACTGGGGGCACTCTGCTAATCAGCTGGGTGGCATTTGAATCTCTCCCAGGTGGCCGCCCAATTGCTCATCTTACAGGGAATGCTGGTCCAGGCATTCCTACCTTCCTAGTTATAAGAGAATACTGGATGGGATGATATTGGTAAGATGGGCCTCCTTGAGTTGCAGAGCACTATTGGTATTCAGCTGAGGAATTTATGCCATCACCTAGGTGTGGTAGAACAACCTCCCTTCTGATAAGGATCCAGGAGGAGATTATGGAATGGTTCCAAGTTTTCAAGATCAGTCTACCTCTCTGGCCTTCAGGGAACAATCCCAGATGGTAATGCCAGACACTCTGAGGAGCACAAGGAATGCTTGGCTCCCCTCCCCCCCAAGTGGACTTTCAGCATCTTGATGAAGAATTAGAGGCAAACTTATATAAACATGGGTCTCCTCTCCCTCAGAAACTGCTGTTCAATTTCATGAGCTGGTGAATAGAATTGCAGGAATTCTAAAATGGTCTGCTCTGCTAATTGTCTCCTTCCATCTAGTTTTTGTCATATGGAGAGCACCATCAAAGAACAAGTTTTCTTTACCCATTTTAAAAGGGCTACAGCAGCTTGCCAAGTAGGTTTGGTCTATACCAGATTCTCAGCTCATTTTCAGAAAGGCAGATAAGTTGTACCATTGTCTCATTTTCTTTCATAACCTGCTCCTTGTGGAAACAGCGACTGTCATGGGTGGAGAAGTAGGCAAGGTAATTTCCCACAATATGATAAAAATATTTGTTTAAATTGCTGTTTTGAGAAGGAAGCTTTTTTCACCTTTCTTGGGGATTATAGTAGTGAACTATCAGGCAGTAGTGTCCCATTATCAATTTCACTTGGGAGAAAATATGGTTTTCGGTATTTAAGTGCAGCCTGATGGCCATCTTGAACTACCTGAGGGCCAAATTAAGTTGGCTTATACCATTTTGATAGGGGAATAGAATATGGCTAAACATAGGCTAAGCATTTTTTGATGCTTCTGATCAGTTGACCCTAGCAGTAACCTTGGCTGCTATTATAGAGAGGTCTGCCTAGTTAAAATCATCTGCTCTTCTACTGAAATAGCAGTGAAAGTAGAGGATCTCTCCCTTGAAGGGGATTGTAGATTTAGCAACAGAACAAATGATCTGCTAGAAAAACTAGAAGATACAGAATTTACCGCTTGGTCCCTGGGATTAAATCCTTCTGCATCTACACGTCTATATGACAGGTACTTTTGCCTGTCATTTTCTTCGACTTACTATTACTCTCATGACAGTCATTTCAAGAACAAGCTGTACCTCCAGAGTGGGCTGAGAAGAAAGTCTTTTCATTCATGTATAGAGATGAAACAAACTTCAGTACCATCATTGTGTAGGCTGACTTCGTATTTGGTGCAAGGATTGAAAGATGTGAGCCAGTTAGCATACGTCTTCTCCATCACTTCCTCAGAAATGGACTGATTCACTTTATCATTAAATAGATGTCTATAACACCTGAGAAATTATAGGAAAGGGATATATATTCAATGTCAAGCCTCCCTCTGCCCCCCTTTCCTTTTTCAGGGACCCCTCTATAAGCACATAATGATATGCAAGGTATAATCTCTACTGCTGTCGTGCTATAGGGGAGTTTTCCAGAAGATTTGTGGGAGGCTGGATTTTTAATCAAATTACTTTCTCATACCAAAGAAAAATAGTGAACTTTGTTCTAGCCTGGATTTAAGAAAGATCAATGCCTTTATCCAAAAAAAATCCTTCCATTTGTTGACACCTGTGTCCATCTCATTTGTTTCCTAGATTGGTTTGCAGCTCTCTACTTCAAGGATGCTTGAGACCAACTCACCACTAGTACCTCTCATTTATGGTGGGTCAAAGGCACTTTCTATATAGAATCCTCCATATTCTGCTGTTTATGGCCCTCCACAGACTTTAAGAAATGCCTCTGTGGTATGGCAACTCACTTGAGAATATAAGTTGTTTGTCTACCCATACCTAAACAAACAGTTTCTGAATTCAACTTCATGTGAGGTACTCCTCAGAGAAGTTCAGTATATTATGTTTCTACTGAAGGATCTAGGTCTCCTCATAAACATAAAGAAGTCTGAGTTTTAGTCTGCATAGAGGACTCCAACATAGGTGCAGTCCTACGTTCTCTGTAGGCTAGGGCTTTTGTGTCAGATGACAGAATTCTCAGATTTAAATCTTGACAGTGTTCTCAAAAGGCAGTATTTTTTTTCTAATACTTACCTGTGTAAAGGTGTTAAGGATGTGTGTCACATACCATATGCTTGCCTCATAATGAGGATTGGATAGCAGTGGCTATCTCTAAACTGCTGGCCCAGATCAGACAGCATGCAGAATTTCCAGTGATACCACCGAATGCACTACTTGACATGGTGAACTCAGAATAAATGTTCTAAGAGCAAGTTTATTCATCCCTGCAACTTAATAAATGACAAGCACTTTGGATGCATCCAGCAATGCTTAGGACACTTATTAAATTCCCTGACAGATCAAGGCATTGGAGCTATCAGGAAAAGAGACTGCCTATAAATCTATTAGAGATGAGAGCAATTTAACTGGTTTCTATCAAAGGAAAGCTGGTTTAGGTGGTGACTGACAATACAACTGTCATGTACTTTGTGAATAAGCAGAGTGAGGGGCTCGTTCATCTTAATTAAGCAGTAACGCTATAGGACTAGTGCATTTAGCACAAGATTTATCCGTTAGCCCTGCACCTTGTAGAAGAGGAAAAACAACCTGGTGGACTCACTACAGCCTCTCTACTCAGTGAAAGCGACGAGGAGTCCTGTGGCACCTTATAGACTAACTGAAGTGTAGGAGCATGCATCTGACAAAGTGGGTCTTTGCCCACGAAAGCTTATGCTCCTACACTTCAGTTAGTCTATAAGGTGCCACAGGACTCCTCGTCGCTTTCACTGAGTAGAGAGGCTGTACAGCTGCATGAGTGGTGGATAGGAAAGGAAATGATTCATGCGATCTTTAGCATATAGGCTTCTCTAGCTAGAGACCTGGTTGCAACAAGTCTCAATACAAAGTGAAGAGTCTTCTTTTCCAGGTCAGGAAGCAGCTGAAACTCCATATTTGATGTGTTTCTTCTGCACTAGAGAAAAGACCTGCTGTGTGCTTTCCTCCCCTTCCATTGTATTACAATGTGTGATTGCCTTTTTGGCTAAATGTGGCACTTCAAGCACTTGCTGCTTCAATTTCCTCCTTGGAGTTTTCTGGCTCTCCTATGGTTTGTGTGGCTCAGCCCTCTGACTGGGTCACTCTCAGTTCAATTCATTTTCAGTGTAATAAGTCCAAACAAAAGACCCAAATAAAGAAAAGGTATTCTGGCCTTTAGGACTTCTCAGAATAGTGTCCTAACCATTGCTGGATGCATCCAAAGTGCTTGTCATTTATTAAGTTGCAGGGATGAATAAACTTGCTCTTAGAACATTTATTCTGAGTTCACCAGCCTTTTGGGCTCTGTTCCCGTTCCCTCCTGGGTTACCTTTCAGTCCTTTTGTCTTTCCTGGTATGCTGGTAGGAGAGCTTCTCCTGTCAGTGTTGTAACATAAAAGCTGTCCCATCAACATAATTCTACTCAGGGAGGTTAGGTGGATTTTTCACACCTCAAGGGACCTATTTATACTGATGATATAGGTCTGTAGTGTAGACCTGGCCTAATAAACCTGTAATGAGAAAGCTTGAACCTTGGGTGAAGTATTCATTATTTAATCAGTCTATTGAGGTTGCCTTTGTTATTGCTGGAGTTTCAGCTAGAGGAGTTAGTGCATTGCATGCTATTATGCCACACCCTCCTTTCACTGTCTTTCATAGAAACAAGGTAGTTCTCAGGCTATACCCTGTATTGTTATCCCTGTAATTATTCCATGTTACACTATAAATCTATCAGATTTCTTTTTCAATCTAGGGAAACCACTTTATAATTGGAATACTAAAAGAACCCTCACCTGTCATCTTAATAGAACTCAGGAATTTCACCAATTAGTAAATTGCTTATTTCATCCATGGACACTCATCAAAATTAGGCAGTATCATCAACCATTTCCAGATGGATTGAACAGTATTTTTAGAACAGTTTTATATATAGCAGCACTCTCCTCCCCTCTAGGTATTATATTGCATGCCCATGGTTTGTGTTAAATGTCTGATCAGGAATTATGTAAAGCTACTACTTGGAACTCTGCATACAGGTAGTTTCACAAAACATTGCACGTCACATCTGACAGCTCGAGCTGATGCAGTTTGTTGGAGCTCTACCCTCCTCCTGGTTGAAGTGCTGCTTGCCAAACTATCCCATAGAACAGGACCATACAGGAGACTCTTGAAAGAAATAGAGGTTACTAACTTCAAGCCAGAGTTCTTAGAAATGAATGCTGCATAGTTATACTCCTTACCAATCTTTCCCTCTTCCTCAGAGTTCTAATAAACACTTTCTCTGATATAGTAATGGAAGAAACTGAGGCATATTCCCCCCCATATCCTCCTCCTCCCTGAGGATGTTTGGAAGCACAGGAATAGGAATGACCACACAAATGCTGTAATAAACACTGTTTGGAGAAGGATTCTCACACTAGGGTCAAGCAGCTGGCAGAACCCTGAGTGTGAATATACAGAGTCCGGTTACAAGTAACAGTCAGAGCAGAACTTCTCTCTCTTCCCCTCCCCTTTTTCTTATGCTCCCTCCTTTCCTTCTTCCCAGCATGCCAATACTAACCAATCCAGGCCTGCTCCAGCAACATCCCCACTGCCACAGTGTTTTCCTAGTCTTCAAATATCAGCTTTATATTTCAGTCACCATTTAGATCTCTGAAGGTTAATATATACTAATGATGCTAGTGATAATCCAGGACACATGAAAACATTGATATCTATAGATATTGACCTGTTTATTTTGAAAAAAAACCTGGAAAATTCCTAAACAGCTTTAACTTTGAGGTAAGGACTGCATAATCTATCAGTGCAAATCACAAAACTCAAGAATTTAAGAGTAAAGTCACTCAGTAGATTCAGCTACCTGTCTTCCACTGCCCATAGGCCAAGTGCAACTTCAGTTCCAGCTGTGCACCTAAACAGTAGTGTGCACATGTACTGATTTCGTTAATGACTTCATTACATATGTCTCTGGACAATCATAAAATGGAGAAACACCATCTTATGTAAGAACGGTATTTGCCTTGCAGGAGAAAATCATAGAATCACAAAAATTTATGACTGGAAGAAATCTTGAGAGGTCATCTATTCCCTCTCTCCTCACTGAGAGAAGATGTTTGTCTAACATTGGCATAAAATGATTATCGTAACTAATGTGTGTTTTAACAGTTATTCATGCAAGTTTTCCTAAACATGACAGATAAATGAGTCCCTTGGTCACCATTTTCAGCTTAATGCCATCTCTATCTTGCTTATGCACACAATACAAAAACAGGTACAGAACTATGTACAGTATAACTTAGAAAGCCACAGCAGTCCTGCATTAATGATCCAAACACATAAAAATATAACTAGTTATCATGGGGAGAATTAAGGCTGCCTGTTCATTTGTTGTCATTGCCTCAAGGATTTCATTTGATTTGATAATGAGAGATGTGAACTTGGGGGGATGACAGATAGGAGAGGAAGTGACTACAAGACACAAATTCATCCCAAAAAAATCAACTTTGAAGAAAGATTAGTCCTGGAAACTTTCAGCCCAGCAGCTGAAAATTGGGCAGACTTCTGAAACAGGCAGTGCTTATGTAAGCAGATACTGGTGGTGATGGGGAACTGACCTACAAGAGGCTCAACCGAGGTTTCCTTGTTTTAAGGGTAGGTATAGCAAAATCTCACAACCCTGGGAAGTGTGGCACTACTACATTATTATAGTGACTCAGCATCACCACTGTTAAGGTTGCATCTTCTAAAATTGATATGCTCAATTGGAATACTTTGTTGTATCAGGAAGGTGCAGAGTAGATAGTATTAATGTCTCCCAATGTGAGATCATTTGTTTGTGGGGTTCTACACATATCAGCCCTGAATAAATAGTTACAAATGGAAACACTGTTCAATTATAACACTGTTGTTTTTTGCTCCAGGTATTTTATGTGAGTTGAGCTATAACAAAAAAAATAATGCTAACAAGGAACACTATGTCCAGTATTCCATTGTAACACATTGTCCCTTGGTACAGGTATTGCATGTGAGTTGGGTAATAAAAAGGGAAAGGAATGGCAATAGAAACGTTTATATACCAGGAGCAAAGCCTTCAAGAAGATCCTTCTTGACTTCAAGAAGACTTCAGTCAATCCTGCTAGAGCTGGGAAGGCCATGGCACAATAGTTGGGGAGTAGGGTTGCCAGGTGTCCAGTATTCACCCGGACAGTCTGGTATTTTCACCTCCTGCCCAGTAAAAAAATTTCTGAAAATACCGGACACCTAAGATGTCCGGTATTTTCTGATTTTTTTTTCCTCGGCCAGGAGGCGAAAATGCCGGACACCTGGCAACCCTACAAACACTCAGCACCCGGCCTCCCCCCTAGTCCCCAACACCCCAGAACCCATGCTTACGTGGTTCCGCAAGGCTTCCGGCAAAAAGACCAAGGGGAAGCAATGACTCCCCTGGGTCTTAGTGCTCAACAACTCCCCTGTTCCTATCCCGGCACTCACTCTTAAAGGGGACATGCTGGTTTAATGCTGGTTAATTTTAATATATATTTTTGCTTAATAAGTTTTGGGGTCTTTTTGTTTTGTGTTGTTTTGCTCAATAACTTTGGTCTCCCCCCGCCCCTTTTTTTTCAACAGAATTTTTTTCCTGGTGGGTTTTTTTTGGGGGTGGGGGGTGGGGGGGGTATTTTTGTTTCAACCATCTGGCAACCCTATTGGGGAGGGACTGGGTAAGGGGAGGGAACACACTGCCTGGCCAAGGGCATGGCTGGATAAATGTGCAGAAGCAGGGTGATGGGGATAGGGTTATGGAGTAGAGGCTAACTTAGCATGTTAGTTGTGGGACATCATGTGTAACACTGTCTAAATGATCACAAACTCTTGCTAACTATGTCTCTAGGAAATTCAATGCTAAAAAAACCATACAGACCCCAAAAAAACAACCTTCCTTAACATAGAGTTAGGGTTGCTGGGTTATGTACCATCCCTTGGCAGACCACTGAGTTGAGCAAAATTCAAATGTCTGAAAAACAGGAAATATTAGTTTGTTGCAAGTGGTCAGTGAACCATAATATAATCATAATTGTTTTGTTGGCACATCTCCCAGGAAACAGATTTATCTTAATTGTAATAGGGACAGATTATGCTAATATGTAATAGTTTAATTATGACCAGGTGTTAAAAGGTTGCAGGCAAGGCTCCATTAGAAGTCCTGCATTTGCTCACTCTAACTTTGAGTAGGAAAATTGGCTTGACCTGAAGAGTTTATTCTGAAGACAAAGGAGAAAGTAGGAAGAAAATTGGTCATGATTGTCACTGGTGCCTCATGTGGATCACAACTGGGGGTTCCAGTATTAGGTCAGACTGTCAAAACTTGGCAGATTCTCTCACTCTGACACTGCTGGTATAGTCTAGAGTGAGATTAACCAAACCAACAATATACATCTGTTCCTAGGTCACTTGATTAGCCCACCATAAATCCACTCCGTTCCTTTAGTGCTCCAGCCTCTACCCAGTCAAATTAGACAACTGCGATGAAAGGTTGTTAAACAAGTTATCACCACACATCAAAGTTCTGGCTCCAAAGAGCTTTCCACTAACCACCAGGGCCGATGTGTGGGGATATGAGGAGTTGCATGCCCCCCAAATGCTGTGGGCAGGGGAGCCTGGCGCCTGCAGCAGGTTCCAGATCCTGGACACACCAGCAGCGGTGGTGCAGGCAAAGAAAGGCGACCCCCCAGCTCACTCTGCTTCTCCAGCCATATCATATCAGGCCGGGATCACCTGATGAGTCCCCGATGGGAAGCGGAGTGGCATGGCCAGGGGAGCTGAGCAAGCTGGGGCTACCTAGCTCCGCTTATCCTATAGCTACTGGTGAGTGCAGGGAGTGGCCAGACCCTTGCTACTGGTATCAGAACCTCAGCCCTGCTAGTCCATCAGGCCGCCTTGGTTGGGGGAAGAGGCGGGGCAGGAAAGAGGCAGGAAAAGGGTGGAGCAAAGACGGGGGGCAGAAAGGAGGGGTAGATGTTGGCGCCCCAGTTTCAGCCTGATTGAGAACATCTCTTTACACTTGAGCCCTAAGACTCTCTGATGCTGGGAGATTTTTGCAGTATAGAGCTGGAAAGGAGGAAAATTAATGAACCATTTATGTTCACTGGAATTGATCACAGTAATTTAGGGGCTAGGGATGTGAATGACTCATCAACTAGTGAACGATCTGATAAGCAAATGCTTATTGGATAGTCAGCTAGTCCCCCCCCCTCTTGCTGTCTCGATCAGAAAGAGGCAGCAAAGGGAGGGAGTGCTTCAAAACAGCAGCACTGAATGGAGCCTGGGGTTAGCAGGGGACTTCCTTGCTGACCCCAGGCTCCATGTGGCACTGCCGCTTTGAAACGCCGCAGGGAGCATTGGGCACAGTGCTTTTGCCTTTGATGTGTAGCAACAGCTCTGGAGCTGTTGCTACACTTCAAAGGCAGAGGGGCCCTTATCAACTAATTGAATAGTCAATGCAAATTGCATCGAATATTTGATTATCCAATTAATCTAAATTTAATATCAGTATTCTGGACAATCATGAACTCAAAAATCTTTCTTTTATGTAACAATTTTACTTACTGTGGAGAAGGACATCATAGAATCATAGATGTCTAGGGCTGGAAATGGACCTCAGCAGCTTATCTCTTCCTTGTCTGTGCACTGAGCAGTATCAAGTATATCTGCACCATCCTTGATAGGCATTTGTAACCTGATCTTAAAAACCTACAATAATGGAGATCCCACAACCTCCCTTAGTAAACTATTCCAGTGCTGCACTACTTATCTTTCATAAGTGTGGCACCCAAAACTGGACATGGTATTCCAGATGAGGCCTCACTAATGCCAGTTACAACAGAACAGTTACTTCCCCTGTCTTCCATATGACAGTCTTCTTCTTGCATTCCAGAAATGTCTTTTTCTCAGCTGAATCACATTGTTGACTTCAATTTGTGATCTACAGTGATCCTTTCCAGCAGTACTATTGCTTTTCCCATTTTGTATTTGTGCATTTGATTGTTTTCCTTCTTAAGACTTTATTGTCTTTATTGAATTTTATCTGGGTAATTTCAGACTGACAAATTCATTTTGAATTTGAATCCTGTCTTCCAAAGTGCTTGAAACTCCTCCCAGCTAGATGCCATTCACAGATTATTTAAGTGTTCTCTCCACTCCGTTATCCAAGTCAGTGAAGAAAATATTTAATACCACAATCAGGACAGAGCCCTCCAGGTCTCCAGCACATATATCCTTCCAGTGTGACAGCAAACACTGCAAAATGGGGAAGTAGAAGGAGCTGGGGAGTAGGATACTGAATGTTGAAATGAAAAATGAACAAGGTTTGAAAAGCAGTGGTGCTATAAATTATTAAACTTTTCATTACAGAATAGCCATATGGATCGAATTTTCTCTGGTATTCAGCCAACTGGGAAGCTCCACCTTGGTAACTACTTTGGAGCCATCCAGAACTGGGTGAAGCTTCAGGAAGAGTACAGCTCTATGCTATACAGCATTGTAGATCTGCATGCTCTCACAGTTCCACAAGAGCCAGAAATCTTGCGTCAGAACATCCTGAACACCACTGCTACGCTCCTTGCCTGTGGTATCAACCCAGAGAAGTGTCTCCTTTTTCAGCAGTCACAGGTCAGTGTCCCAGTTACTTACAAATGTATTCTTAGGCATGGCTATCTGGTGTTCCCCCTGCACTTTGTTGAGTACACATAGCACTCTGCATGTCATTTATTATTTTGTGCTGACTGTCCTAGAAATTATTTAAAAACAGTGAGCCAGGGTGTACCTGTGGCGGTGGGCGGGAGGGCAGGGCCAGACAGGAGTTGCTCTGACTGGTCAGAGCAGCCCCTGTCTGGGGTGGTCAGGGAGCTGCTCCAGTCCCTGCTGTTCACCAGAACCTCTAAGCATTACCTGTTTAGGATAGTGCTTACTGGTTAACCTTTTGCATGCCTACCAGAAATACCCTCTCTCATAACAACCCAACTCAGCTGTAAAATCCCTGCCCTAGTTCTTGTCCAGAAGGAGCTTTTCCAGATCTTCCATTTCCTCTGTGTTTCCTCTTCTAGAGAATGGACTCCTGTTTTTGCAGCCCAGTCTACACAGACAGGAACATTCAGGTCAACGTCTTTTCCTAATATAAGTCCTTGGCCATTGGTTTATACTTTGTGAAGGATGCCCTTTCTCTGCTCATTTTTCCTCCTCTCCTTTCTCGATTATAACTTCTTTACAGAGAACTAGATCAATTCCTCAATTTACTAGGGTAGAAGTAAGGTTTGTCATATAGAATTCTGTTGCCATTCTTGCCCCTCTGTTTTAGCTTTTTCTCTGAAGGAGAACAGCCTCTAGACCTGCAAATGTCAGAATCACTAGTTAACAGGTTATTTTTTTTTCATTCTTCCAGCAACTTCTGCTCCCATTACTTCCTGGTCTGGGAAATGGTTGGAAAAGGTTCCACTCAAACTTTGACAGCTGATGCCCAGGCTGCTTAGAGAATATGATTCTGCATAAAAAAACTGTAACTTCTTTGCAGTTAGATTTCCTATGTTCGGTTCTTGAATTTACAGGCGAGATCTAGGAAAAACTTTTTCACTAGGAAGGTGGTGGAGAACTTGAATGGGTTACCTGGGGTGGGAGGGGGGGTGTGGGATCTCCATCAATAGAGGTTTTTAAGTCTCATCTTGACAAAGCCCTAGCTGGGATGATTTAGTTGGGATTGATCCTGCTTTGGGTAGGGGATTTGGATTTGATGACTGCCTGATGTCTCTTCCAACCCTAGGATTCTATGATTCTATACCCTTTGGATTCCTCCCCACCCCTACAATTCACACCTAACCTCATTTTCACAAGCATTTACCTTGCTGCTAGTGGATGACCTATCTGATCTCAGCCACAGATCTTCATGGAGGTGGCTGCCAAATTTTTATAAGAAGGTTTTTACATTTATCCCTAGCTAAACAAGTGATTTTCCTGGGATGTCTTTGCCCTTTCTTGATAAGCCAGGACAGAATCTATCACTGACTCTTGGACTGTGGATTTCTTACCAGTTGTGACAGACTATGACCTTTGGCCTAATCTCAAAGACTCTGAGCAAGTGAGAGTCTTCCTCTGGGTGGCTTTGGATCCCACCAGGAAATGCACTCAGGGAATCTGCATTAGCTCAGGGAAGACTGCCAAGGAATCTCCTTCCTACATTTTTGTGCTGCGCTGTCTAACCCTTTCCATCATTTTTTTTTTCTGTTCATCCAGCAATTTTATCACAATCTTTAGCATCTAGTGTTCTACGTAAAATGTTAAGATGGCTTCATTAGTCTTTGGGGAACAAGAAAAGTTAGTGCCAAGGAAGTTTACTTTCCTAATCCCTCTTTTACTGATCAAATCTGTAGTACAGGTTTCCAATCTGTGATCACTGAGCACTTGCTCAGAAAGGTGACTGATTGTGTGGTGCTGCCTAGTCCTTATTTCCAGCTGCTAAACAGCATTAAAGAAGCTACAATACATATCAATACTTGTTCCAATATTTTTTGGTTCTACAGAACACCTCTTCCCATAAACACGATCTCTGTATTAAAATGATGTCCACGCTATGAAAAAGTTTGAAAATTATAGTTCTATAAGATGTGAGATCAGCTGTTCGTTCTAAAGCCCACCTTATTGCTATGTAGAGTTGGTGGAACTTGCAATTTTATATGAAAATTTTCATCAGTTTAAATGTTGATTGAACAAATTTTTGAGCATTTTAATGAAAATTTCTATCTGTTTTTCAACCAGTCTAGTGTAATCATGAGCATGGAATGTGTTCAATCTTATTTTATTGTCTTATAAAATTGGGGTTCTTTCTCAGTATCGACATTTGAGGTCCAGATAATCAGAAAAACAAAACAGTTCACAATTATTTGGAGGGAACAAGCACCTCAGACTGAGCTGGGTCTGCATTTCATCTCCAGTTCCTCAAGAACAATGATCACCTCTTAAGTGAATCATGAGTACCAATTGCCTGGAACACATGGCCATTGTCCTTTTTCGCATTAAAATGCAGAATTCCCAATTAACCTGTTATATTTTATTGAGATGCCACAATTAAACTTTTACACGCTAGTAAGATAGAATCAAAGAATACTAGAACTGGAAGACACCTGGAAGGTCATCAAATCCTGTACCATGCACTCATGGCAGGACCAAGAACCATCTAGAATCTAGATGATTCCTTACTGATGTTTATCTAACCTGCTCTTAAATATATCCAATGATGGAGATTCCACCACCTCCTTAGGCAATTTATTCCAGTGCTTGACCACCCTCACAGGAAGTATTTCCTAATGTCCAACCTAAACCTTCTTTGCTTTAATTTAAGCCCGTTGCTTCTTGTCCTATGATCAGGCATTAAGAAGAATATTTTTTTCTCCCTCTTGTTTAGGTACTTGTTTAGATACCCTTCTAGGTACTTGAAAGCTGTTATCAAGTTCCCTCTCTGTCTTCTCTTTTCCAGACTAAACAAAACCCAGTTTTTCCAGTCTTCCCTCATAGCTCATGTTTTCCAAACCTTTAATCTTTTTGTTGCTCTTCTCTGAACCTTCTCCAATTTCTCCACATCTTTTTTGACGTGGTGCCCAGAACTGGACACAATACTCCAGTTGAAGCCTAATCAGCTTAGAGTAGAGGAGGAGAATTACTTCTTCTGTCTTGTTCACAACACACCTGTTAATGCATCCCAGAATCATGTTTGCTTTTTTTTGCAGCAATGTCATACTGTTAACTCATATTTAGCTTGTGGTCCACTACAACCCCTAGATCCCTTTCTGCAGTATTCCTTCCTAGACAGTCGCTTCCCATTCTGTATATGTGAAACTGATTGTTCCTTCCGAAGTGGAGCACTTTGTATTTGTCCTTATTAAACTTCACCCAGTTTTCCTCAGACCATTTCTCCAGTTTGTCCAGGTCATTTTGAATTATAATCCTATTCTCCAAAGCACTTGCAACCCCTCTCAGTTTGGTATCATCCGTAAACTTTATAAGCATACTCTCTATGTCATTATCTAAATCACTGATGAAGATATTAAACAGAACCCGTACCAAAACTGATTCCTGCAGAACCCCACTTGTTATGCCCTTCCAGTGTGATTGTGAACCATTGATAACTACTTTCTGAGAGAGGTTATCCAACCAGTTATGGACCTAATAGTAGCTGCATCTAGGTTGTATTTCCCTAGTTTATCAGATGCTTTACTAAAATCTAGTTATACCACATTTACCGCTTCCCCGTTACCCACATAGCTTGTTATCCTACCAAAGAAAGTGTATAAGGTTGGTTTTACATGATTTGTTCTTTACAAATCCATGCTGACTGTTACTTATCATCTTGTTATCTTCCAGATGTTTGCAGATGGATTCCATAATTATTTGCTCCATCTTTCCTGGCACAGAAGTTAAGCTGTCTGGTCTGTAGTTTTCCTGGGGTGTCCTTAGATGGGCACTATATTTGCCCTTTTCCAGTCTTCTGGAATCTCTCCCATCTTCCATGACTTTTCAAAGATAATAACTAATGGCTCAGATGCCTCCTCTATCAGTTCCTTGAGTATTCTAGGATGCATTTCATCAGGCCCTAGCAACTTAGACATTTAACTTTTCTGAGCAATATCATGGGCTAGGTAAATAATGAAATGGGGAACAAATTCTCCAAATGTTCTATCAAGTCCCGCTGATGGACCATTTTATGCAGGGGTGGACAATAAGCGGGCCCACAGGCCAGACACGGTTGCCCAAGTTTAGGGAACAGTGAACCATGGCCAACAGGATCTGCAAGAGGCTGTACCCCCATTGTTTCAGTGATCAGCCCCTCCCCCTCCCCACCACCACCACACTTTTCATGACCTATGGTTACTACATGTGCCTGTCACAAAATTTGATATACTTCATCCATTGTACAATAACAGCTCTGTGCATGAAACCAGACAATCACTATGCCCTTGAATGAGTTCTCACAGGAAAATGGTGAGACAAAAACTACATATCACCTCTGGGAACATGGAGCCATGGGGGTGCCTATCCTCTTGACCAGATTAACTGGAACAGTGAGACAAGTTTTAAACGATATGGAGGAAGAGGATGCTATTGTATATAAGAAATGAGAAAATTTGTAAAAAGTTTAAAATGTCCCTGAGCCCTATCAGTTGAAGTATAGACATCTTAAAATGTTTGGTAGGTATCGTTCATGTTAAATGTGTACACACTATGTGTATTTTATGAGAAAGTGGATAATTGGGGTAAGGGCTGGAGGTGATCATGAAAAATTGTTTAATCTGATGTCTCAAACAATTGTTTTGGGTAGGCTGGAGGTGATCATGAAAAATTGTTTAATCTGATGGCTCAGAAACAATTGTTTTGGGTAGTTACAGATGAGGTAAAGGCAATCATTTTTTCTATTGACTATAGAAAAAAAATTGATGAGGTAAAGGCAATCATTTTTTCTATTGACTATAGAAAAGAAATTATAGACAAAAAATATAAAAAACCAAGGACTATAGAAATTCCTGATGAATATGTTAAATCAAGGACCTATGGGGGCTGTAAATCCCCAGGGAAGTGAGATTTCTTGTCACCCCGACTATGAGAGAGGAGGGGATTGGAAATAAACC